GTTTGTTATACTTTAAAACATTTTTAGAGATTCGAAAACGTCAAGCCGAGACGTTATAGGGTAGCCTTCCAATGAAACGTTCGTTTCGAAGTTTGTGCGAGTGCAACCAAACAATTGGTAATTTCGGTCTAATGATCCGTCTCACTCAAATTATTCAAGTTCCGAAACTATTTTTGTTTAAAAATGTGAACACTCAAAAACAGAAAAAATTCGTCTCCTGATGGTATTGATTTTAAATCCTTCTAGAGACCTCTGGATTTGATCTTCAAATTGAGTGTTACCACCAAAAAAAGTAGTCCACAAGAACAAATATCCAAACATATTCTGCTATTGTTTTTCTAAAACAAAAACCAGTTATATATTTGGTACTTTCAGTGGTTTGTAGTGCAATGTTTTGATTAGGGTATAACACAATTCGCTGTCCATGCTATGGCACACGCATCTTTCAACAATAGCTTTTAGATACTTGAGCCCCAACTTAAAGTCAAATATAAATCTCTCAATGAAAGTTTACTACTGCAAAAGAACGTCTTTAGAGCGTCCCTGTTTTGGATGCTCATCATTGACAAACAGAGTGTTTTCTAGATTAAAAAAATCAGGGGATCATCTAAATTTTGAAAGTAATCGACTTCTTTTGCTTCTACCAGCGCCACTGCTGTTCATTGGTTTGCGTTTATTTCGCCCACATTTCACGCACGCTTTCATTGTAGTTACAAGCCTCCCACAACGCTCAGTCACAATGCAAACTTTGTTCAACTTTTACATTCAAGTTGCAACATTATCTCCACATGAAGTTATATTAAAATTATCTGCAGAGACTTTTTACCCTTTAGCTTAATCAAGAATTTTTCAAAAACCTACTCTGTTTTTATCATACTACCTACCCAAGTTAACACATTTTAAATGGCAAAGTCTCTTGAAAAGAGTGTGAAGCAATGATAACAAAAAATAACTCCGGAATACGGAAATAAAAATTGCACTCAGTCTTCGAGGATTTTAAAAGAGCCGATCGTCAGGGTTTTTCTATATCATACGTGTTAGAACAAGCAACCAACGAGGTTGCTGTTGGGGTGGGGGGGGGGGGAGAGGGGGTTTGACGACAGAAAACGAACAGCCAAATAGATAAGGCCAGCAATTAGAGGTTGCAGCGACAAGCGAATGGCTTCCCTGTATAGTTTTAGCAAATTGTTTTTGGGTTTCCTTGTCTGCTAAAAGGTTTCTTGCTATTAAATGTGTCTACAAATAACTTCCAGAACCTATTTTGTCTGTCCATTCAAAGTTTGCGCTCATTAGTTTTTAATTGTACCTGACTATCGCTTATTTTATAAGATAAAATCTATTGACCGAGCGTCATTAAAACGCTGGCTCCATGAATAAGTCAAACGTGGTCAGAACTGGCCTTGGTTGTTTATAACTTTCATGATAATGCGAGAATTGACAATGCTCTGGCAGTTGAATGCTGTGAGCGGCAACTCTGCTGACTTTCGACATGGAGGATGTTTGCCATCCGGATATATATCCTTGGTACTTGTATAATTAACCTATTTTTTAAACTTGTTTTTGTACATCCTGCTTTTTTGATTTGAAATTTATGTTCGGCCTTAAAGGCCAATCTTCATGTGACCTCACGGCACCAGAGAAGCCCTGAATAACCAAAGCTATCACGTTGTTCAGTGTTGACCAATTATGCAGTGTTATGCAGTGATAGAAGTATTCGTGAAACGGTTTTTCCTTACTAAGCTTCGCGACTAGCACCAGTTAGTTTTATTTACCTCAACACTCCTACAAACGCTTTTCGTTGTACATCATGGTGCAGTCCACAGGATACAAACATACGCAGGAAGCAAACATATGAAACCGATAGACGACCATAGGGCAATATATTTGGTATAAGGCCTAATCCAAAAATTAAAAATTAGGCTACTGGTAATGAAAGTTGACCCCAGAAACATATCATATAAAATAGCGTCAGATCTGGCAGAATTCATAATAATCCTACAGATATCACCACACGCGGAAATATATCTCTCCAGTCGCTTTTGCAAATGGGCAGGCGTCCAGACACGACACGTCGAACCTAGCTACAACAAGTAACCAAAAAAACCTAAGTTGGGACAATGTAAAACTGAAAACGCTTTCAGACAAGCTGAACTTAGAAAGTCGGTCACTAAAACTCGAAAAGATGCACGACCATTTGTGCTGGTCGGACGACGAGGTTACCATCAGGCGCAGGAAACCCAGGGGAAAGATTCCTGAAGTATTAACTTGTACAACGAAACAACCGAAGAAAAAAGTTCAACTATTAAGAAATTTAGATCCTCCATAGAACTAAAGCATAAAACGACCAAAACAAACCAAAAAACTCTGATAACGCTATGATAACGGTGAGAATAGGACAAAAAGTCTAGGATCTCACAACATTTCATCAAAAGTAAAAAACACAGGACGGAAAAATCCTAATGTACACACCAATCACCGCTTGGTAAAAACTTTCGGAAAACAACCAGATTACTTAGAAACAGTGCAGTGGTTTTGCTTTCGTTTCAAACCCAAAATTCTACGAGAACAGTCGCCTCACAAGAACATCGGACTTCGTAGGGTACAAATCTGCCTGACACATTAAAAGCTAACGCTTTTTAGATATAAAAAATCCACAGACAACCTGAAATCCCATTTTCGAAAAGCAATAAGAGAGCCAATTCATGAACAGAAACCAGCGAAAAAACAATCACATGATAACAAAAAGCTCAAGCAGCTAAGAGACATCGGAAGGACCTCGGACAAACAAACGAATGAAGTAACCAACAAGGTAGCTTCCAAAACAAAACAACATGACAAGCGAACAGGCGGAGTAGCACAACCGAGGGACATCATCTTCAGTATAGCACCATCGTCGTTCTCGGAATCAGATGTATCAATTCTGTCATCCAAAAAGGAACAACTATCCAAAAAACAGGACACGGAAAAACGCTGCCACCCACAATACTATCGACACGCAATCGGTCAACCAACCTCGGGACTAAATTAGGTAACGTTATACCAATTATGGCTGTAGATAACAAGAAAAAGCGGGAGGTACCTGAGCCCACACCATCAAAAACGTCACCTTGTGCGATAGAACTTAAGGGCTCGATGGCTGACCAGCTGGAGGAAAAATAAAAACAACAGACTCAGTTGTGTCTACAACTTGTGCCAAAGAAAGAAAAATAAAAAAAATCTACAGAAAAAAATAATCGATTTATCGAGCAACGCATCTGGTGCCATGAGCCATAAAAAGCCGGGAAACGAAGCAAAAAAAAAACAAGAGAAAATATCCAGTGACGCTTCTAAGGTAGCAGGACACGAAGAATGGTAGCAGTAATCACGTGAGACGAAGCCGATAACAGGAAATAGAAAAAAACAGGAAGAACGGCTCAGCCAAGAGAACCGATCAGAGAAAAAGCAAAAAGAAGACTAAGTAAACAAGGACAAAATCTAGCGAAAAGGATCAAAAGCAAAAAAGAAAGAGAGAGAGAGAGAGAGAGAGAGAGAGAGAGAAATGAATGGGAGTGTAACTCTACAGTAGAACAATAAACCCAACAAACTGTTTTAAAACTTGAAAGCTATTGGGAGCTCCCGGGAGAGTGTTATCCTTCCCGATATTTATTCCTGGTGCCTATATATTTATTCTGTTTAATAACTTTATTAAATTATACATATCAACTTGTTGATGTAAAATTTATGTTCGGCCTTAAAAACCAACCATCAAGTGACATCAAGGGACCAGAAAAGCCCTAAAAACCGAAGCTATCATGTTGTTCAGTGTATACCAATTATGCAGTGGTATGCAGTAAAAGATCTATTTGTGAACGGTGTTTTCTTTCCAAGCTTGTTGAATTGCGGCAATTGGTTATATTTACCTTTACACTCGTACAAACGCATTTCCTTTGAAGACAGAGGAGAGGCTTGGCAAGTAGAACAGAGCTGGGTATGGGACAAGCTTAATAGCTGGACGAAAACAGAGACCGGTCATTAATACTCTGAGAGATTATAGCCTTTTTCAGTAAAGGGGATTTCTTTTGATTTTTTACCAAGTTTGAGTTATGATCGTTACATAGACACAAACACACTCACACATACATACATACATACACATACACATACACACACACACACACACACACACACACACAGAGACAGAGAAAATAGCTAGCCGGCCAATTTGCTTGAGGTATAACAGACCAAAATAATCAATATTCGACTGGGTAACTGGTTTAACGTTATTGGTAAGGTTGTTTATTTATCCTTTTATTTCTTTGTTTTTATTAACAGCAATTGTTAACAGCAATAAAAAGACGATTATCCTAAAAATATTGTTAGGCTAGTTGTTGAAAAATGACTAGAAAATTTTTAAAAAAATAATACGAAAATTTAGTTTTTCAATATTTTTGCAGAAAATTTTTGAGCTTTTTGATATTTTTGGATTTCAAAATGATGCTGAAAAACTCCAAAAATTAGTTTTATTAGCCCAAAATCACGACTAAATGATTTGAATCACTACTGAAAAGGCTGTAAGATGATATATCAATCAACCCAGTCCGATCATTGATTGTGGTCTGATTTTGTGCGGAAAACGAAAAACACAAAAATTGAAGAACACCCGAAAACGAAGTTTCTCTCCATTTTTAGTGGTCGGAATATAAAAGTTGAATAATGTTCTGCTTACATTAAATAAAACTGCAGTAGACGAGAAAAATTTTATAACAACAAAACTGATGCATACTTTGTATACTTTTTTGGTTTGACTGTTTTTTTTGCTTTGAAAAAGTCAAAGTAAGCAAGTTAAGTTTGAATCTAGAGAATTTATTTATAAGCTGCTCAAAAAACCTCGTGACAAAAATAAAACGCACAAAAAACATAAATAAAACTTTCAGAAAAGCATTCAGAAAACTAGCATTCAGAAAACTAGCAAAAAAGATAAAAACAAAAAGAAATTCAAATTTTTTAAGCATGAGAAACGATCTACCAGAACAATAATGCAAAAATTACAGGCTAGTTTTGCTGTACAATCGTTCAAAAACGAAACAAATCAATAGAACTTCTAACCAAATCCTCGTGTTATATTTTCAATCACATTAATTCAGGCTGAAAAATTCGCAATTATATTTTATCAAACTAAACTGCATTACAGATACTGTTGGACAGTCGAATTAAACGTGAAAAAATCATTTGATAAAAATCGTTCCGGTAATTGTTTTCATATATAGTATGAACGTATTATGATTTGAAAAAGTCAATTGCTACAAATTTAATTAGTGATTTCCCACTTCTTTGAGAACTTTTTTAAATATTTGGTTTGCTACATTTTACTTCTATTAAGCTAGAAAAAAACGGTTGTCTCCAGCTTACTCACTTTCAGTTTTTTTTTTAATTTTATCTGGCAAATATTTGTAATTCGAAGAAAACAAACAAAAGCAAAGAGTCTTTGCTAACTATGCCTCTAGATTTTGCTGGTTCTGCTATCAAGCAGAATGCGGGCAAAATATCTGAAATTGACAGGTGGGATCCTACTGACAAAGAAAGAAAGTGGCTTCTGCTCTCAGGGGCGAGCGATCCTCCAAACAGATATCAGCTCTCTGAAAATGGTGAACGAGAGGCTAGAGGAGACCAAAGAGACATCTATCTGAAAGGTCAAAGTGTGGATTTTGTCAACATGGAAAGAGCTGTAGGTCATCACCTTCACAACAGAGTACTGAATTTCGAAATTAAAAAAGACGAAGCAAAGAGTCATGTTCTGAAATTTTTCAACTTTTGCAAGGAGAACAGTTTCAAACCAATGTTGTATTATACTGGTCACGGAGAGTTACCGACTGGAAATTGGTGCCTAGCAGATGGTACAATTAGCATAGAAGAGATCTTCGACTGGATGCCGACTGGGATGGAGCCCCCGACCATCTGTACTGACTCATGTTTTAGTGGAGTGTGGGCTGATTATTGCATTCAAAAGAAAGTACCAGGATTACACTGCCTCTCCGCGACAGTTGATTGCCAAGCCGCTTATGATCACAAAGGTTAGCCTAGCAAAATGAGAAAATAACAAAATTTCTGCTAAGAAAAGAACACCAACTAATTGTTCTAAAAATATTTTTTTGATTGAAATTTTCTTTCAATTCAGTTGCCAAAGGTACAATGTTTTTTTTTGAGTCTAATTACAATTTTTCTCGATGAGCGATCCAGCTATATATAATAAAAATGCCTTTTTTAAGTTACTGCGTTAGTGCAAGTTTGATAAAAAAATTACTAACCAAACTAAAATCAAATCAAAAAATATCTTCCACTATCAAAATGTGATTAACTAAATCAAATCAAGGAGTTGAAGAATACACATTTGGATCTTCCAATCAACCAGTCTGGATTTGGTTTGATTTAATTTAATTTGAGCCTTGACACCTGAATAATTTTTGCAGGAAAACTTTCATTATTTAGATTTTTAAAGATCTGTGCGTGAAATTTTTTGAAAGCAAGGTTGCTCAGAAAAACGATCCGGCTTGCAATGAAACTCACATTTTTTGTAGTTGGAGTTTTTTATACCAGTCTTTGCAACCTTGAGAAACATTTTCACGAAAAAGTGGTTTAACAGCGAATTCTTAAGTTAAACTCTGGGGTCTTAAAAATTTCTAACTTTGGTTGTTTTTGGACTATTTTAAAGGCACTTCTCACAAATCAGCTATCATTTTGAAAAATTATTAGGCAATTTTTTTTTGTGTTTCCAGTTGATCTTGTCCGAGAACATAATCCTGAGAGATTTATCACAAAGAAAAACCAATAATGAACTGGAAAGTATCTTAAAGCTAAACTGCGTTGGAGATTTGTGTCATTTACAATCTAGGTATAAAAATTGGGACAGAATCGTAAGCTTTCTGTATATGGCTGAAAGTTTTCACTGTTAAACATTGCTTGAAAGTAGTGGTTGTTTTGGCGACAATTCAAAGTGTATCTGAACATCAAAAAGATAATAAGAATACTGGATTCACACAAAACATTCATAGTCATTTTTAATTCTTTTGGGTAAAAATCTTGATTTCGTCATAAACCAAACTGCGCAATTTTTGCTTTCTTTGTATAACTTGTTTCCAAGAACAGACGTAATTTTAAACTTAGGGCAAAACATTATTTTATTCAAATTTTAGAGTTCGAAACTTTTTGCAGCCACGGAATTTTTGTAGCAGGCACTTAAAAAGTACTCGTTTCACAACTTTAAAGTTTGATTATTTTGACAGATACCATCTGCGCAATTGTAGTACAAACTTTTTTCCTATCATTAAAAGCTGGGAGGGGCTTGTATTCAGGAGTGTAATTCGACGCCTTGTGGCTTAAACCACTTTAAATAATTAAATAAATTTAAAAATCATACAAGTTTTGAGAAAAACGGATTGGAAATTTTGAGTTTTGTCTAATTTTAAGCGAGTCAAGCAATACAGTAACGTTGGCTAGATATGAGAACCGGTTATATTGACTAACAAATTAGTATTGAAAGCTCCATTTACCGTCTTCTGGAAATACTTTTTTGAAATTAAAACTTAAACAAACATTAAAAAATTTTTAAAAATTTTAGATTTTTTCGAAGGTTTTTATTTGTCATTCATTTTATAAAAAGTATCTCTAGATGATTATAACTCAATCAAAGATTTTTTAGAGGGCACTAATTTGAATATATTAAATTGTATTTTTTTTATTTTATACAAATGTGGTTGGAGTAATCTGTGCTCCGTGCACAGCAACCGGTTTCACTTTTTTGCCGATATATTGGGTTGACCAGCAGTTTTGGTGTATAGAAATAAGCCCGGGCAACCTAGAAAACAAATTATGTCTCTAATATATTTCTCCTGGAAGCTTTTTTTTAAAGGTCCAACGTTCAGTCTTCCGAAAAAAGATTAGGTGAAAGCGTCAGTGCAAATGTAAATGTGCGACAAAATAACCGAAGGTTAAATTTTTTAAAAACAATACGAGGAAAACCAGTTGCCTGTACGTTCTTTTTATATGTTGCCTGTTGGAATGTTCGAAATTTGAAAATCAAAATACAAAAACAACAAATCTTGAACATGATAATCATCAAACTTGTTTCGCCAAAAATGATTCGATAACACTTGAAACGTAGTCAAAAGAAAAAGGAATCATGCTGATACCATTTCTTTTGCTATTTTTAATTAACTTTCAGTTTTCTATTCTAATAAGCAATGTTCTCTTCCAAAACTGATTCAATATTGCAAAATTGATTTTCAAAAAAATGTATGTTTCCAACCAACGGAAATGGTTTTCACTATCACGCGACAGCAAAACAGTTTTGTTTGAGATTTTATCATCAATAAAATTAACCACATACTATTAATGGCCACTCGACATAGACGCAAACATCGAAAAAAACAATACTTAATGAAACAAAAAAGCAGTGGCACACCACAATGAGCTAAATTTGTGTCTGTGTTTTTGTCAATTTTTCAGTCAGTTATTTTCAATCTAACAAACAAACTTTCGTTGAAAAACTACACTCCCCTTAAAAATTGAACTCCAAAATGCAATCAACCAGTACATTGTCCAAAATAACCTCTCTCATGAGCTAAAATGGGAAGGGTTTTTTTACTCAAGCGATTGGTGAAAACGGTTTATTAATATTTAGTTTGGTTCTTTTTTGTATATATCAGATAAAAACAAACTGTTCAGATGATACAGAAAAATGCCGTCGAAAATGATCAAAAACTGAACTTGTCTGAAAAAAACTATCCAAATAAATATAACTTATGATTTTGAAAAATCAGAAAACAAATTTGTTGAAAGAAACAAATAAGAAAACCTCTTTGATTAAGCATTTGTTATTAAGTTAAATAATAGAAGTAATTCCTTTGATTAGATTACAAACATTAGCATTTGTTTTAAGTTTATGCAAGAAATGTATTTTGAGAAATGTAATGACTAAACCTTTTGAATTTACAAACTTTTGAAAAAGTCTGCCTTTTTCAGTATTTTGACTGAGGAAATAACTGTCGGAATTTTTGCTTTTTTGTAGTTTTTTAGACAAGTCCTACTGTCCAGAGTTTTGAGTAAAACTTTTTAATTATTGAATAGAGAAGAGTTTTTTCCATAAAAACTTCACAAGGCGCTAAACACTCCATAATATACTAAGTTAGTGTCTTGCTGACGATTTTTAAAACTATATCTGGAAATTATATCAATTATTATTACTTTTTCCAAAAAATAAACATCATTCTACTCGTGATCCAACGTGTAGCAATTTAGTCAAATTTTTTGCATATGAATTGATCACGGTAGAGTCATAAATATATTTATTTTTTCAATTCCGCAACCGAAATTTTCATTGAGACCAGTTGACGTCAAAAAATGAAAACAAAAAAGGTAATCAATTGTTGATAAGAGCAAATGATTTTTCAGAAATTTATAGGAAAAACGTAAAATTTTCTCTTTTTTTGTGGTAGAAGATACCCAATCAGCCTTCAAAAATTGAAGTTGATTTGGTATCAAATTTACTGCACCTGACAATGAGGCCAACAAAAGATTATTTTTACCCATTCCATGCATTAGAAAAAAAATCATTTAAAACTGCTTTTGTAGAAATTTTTTTTTAATTTCAGCTGAAAATGAGTTTCTCACATACTTCTAGTTTGTTTATGAGACCTGAGAGGAGAAGATGACTGACAAGCCTTTCACCTACTGGTGGTGTTTTAAAACATGTGTAATTTTTTGAAAGTTAGCGCACTAGATTTGAAAATTTCATTTTTGGAAATTGAAGACGGAATAATTATTGAATTTATTTAATTGAACCTAATATATTTTATTATCTATAAATTTTGCACTTATCTATAAATTTCTAGTGGGATACATTATTTGTAATTTCAATTGAGATATTTTCAACTGGCAGGCAGCTGTACGTCATTACCGTACCAATAAACTGTTCATTTCTAGCGACAAAAATTTAATTCTATACCTAAGTTTTTGGTAAGAAATTATTTTTGATCCGTGTAAGTAAGACTGAATTTTTATTCACTTAACTCCAAAGGGCCTTATTTTCAATCCAATTTTTGATTAGACCTCCTGCATTGGAGTTCCAAGAATAAAAATCGATTATGATTGAATTTCCTTGTCAGTGTCCACAAACGTGAAAACAAATCGGGGGATGCATTTGAAACGGGAGTGTTCAGGTGAGGAGGGTGGGGGTTAAGCTGGGGGAAAAGGAGCAAAAGGCAAACGTTAGGAGGGGGGAGAGCTCAACGGAATCTTTTTGCAATTTGATTTTAGGTTTAGAAATGGACTAGGCCGTACACTCGCTTAGCAAAGTTTCCGCATAACTAACTTGATAAATGCAGAAGTTCTTGCAAAAATTTGCACGACGCGCGAAACAAAATTAAAGTGGAAAAAAATCCATTTTTGTGTGATTTCCTACTTCTTATAAATTCCATTACAATGGATTCCAAATTAATTATTATACATTTTTTTGGTGAGAAAAAATGGATTTAACCACAAAAAACCATTATAATTGATTTGTTTTCACTTTTCTTAAATACAGGCTAGGCTGTTTTTAGCAAAAAAAATCTCATGGCGAGGTTCGCACCCTCAATATTACGATAGCTAGATATTAGTTTTCAGCACTAAGCCACGAGCTGACACCGCAAACAGTTTAATCTGTGTTTAATTTGCTCTTTTTTGCTACAACTTTTGTGTAGCTCAAAGCGTGTATAAAATACTTTTGTCTCCTTTCAGTTGAGCAATTAAACTGATTTAAGGTCATGCTTTACAGAAATGGTGTTAAGATTAGTCTAATTAGTATCTGAGCAGAAAACACAGAAATTTAGGCTAGGTTATCTACATAATATTTGATTGATTCAGGTCGATTAAACGATTAACTTTAGTCAACCTGAACTTGTTTTTTATGTACTTTCTGAAACTGCTACGACCTTGCTACGACATATATAATGCAGTTGAAAAATCACGATTATCATCCGTGAATTTTGATTGAAACTTTGTGATGATGGAATCACCGTCTGCGAAATTATAGTGT